GAAGGTGACTGAAGCCAGCTTAAGCTCTGATCTGGCCAAAGCGCTTAAATGCACACTTAACTTTAAATATCTGACTAATCCTGCTGATGTTAATAGAACTACTTGCATGCGTAAGTGCTTCCCTGAATTGGAAGTTAATGAGTTCAAATGCTAGATAAACTTAGTTTTGGAGGAAGCTGCAAGGACTGGCAGTGTGGATTCCCGTAATTAGACGTGTCTTTTTGCTGCTCTGTGGAAGCCCTTTTCTCTTTTCTTGTATTCTTACAATCAGTCTGCAAACTTCAGCTAGGAAGCAACTTTCAAAGAAGAGTGTTATTTTGGATGTAAAATGAAGAAAGTCGAAGGTAATTTATTTGCGTCCCCTCTATTGCATCTGTCGTAAATAGCAGTCTCTCTGCAGTTTGAAGGTGGAGGGGCTCTGGGAAATAGTGTGAAAACTTTGAGAACAGGTTACAGCAGCAACATAATTTGCAGGGAGATCCTCTAAGCTAGTATTCTTCTAGACTCCATCCACTCCATCTGTCTTTAAACTGCTGTAGATAGGCTGGACTGAGCTGGCAGGGAGGCTGCTGTCTTTGGTGGACAACCACAACACACGAAGTGAGGCACAGGCATGAACTGGTGCTGGATCAGGGCCTAGATAACGAAACACAAAGGCCGACAAGTGTCCAAAAAAGTTCAAAGGGTATTTATCTGGCAATTGCAAAGACTCAGACAATCCAAAAAGCTGATGGGACTGCTCTTGCTTTTTAATATTCATTGGCAGGTGCGCAGGTTGCTTCATGAGAAGCCCCTCATGGGGCTTCTCTGCCCCAGTAAGCTCACGGTTAGGGATGCCAACCTAAAACAGCCAGACCCTTCTCACCATGAGGAGTATGAGTTAAGACAAGCCTTAGGGAGTGTGCAGGAGGAGGCGGGAGCTCAAGGAGGCAAGTGCAGAGAATGGGCATAATGGTGTTGCTGCAGTGGGGGTGGAGAGGGGGCTAATTGTCTTCTTGGGGAGTATTCAAGAGACTACTTTTCCATTTAAGCACTGGGTTGATTGTTTGCATTTATTGTCTGTACTCAGGAGGCCAGAGCACAGCCAAGCAGTGCTGCCAGCTCTGGAAGTTACCCCCTTACAGCAGTTTATTTCCAGCGTAGCAACATTGCAGAGAAGGGAATGAGGAGATGGGCATTTCTTTCACTTCAGTGAAACCTACACAGGACCCCAATTTTATACTCCCTTTCACTGGTTTCAATCAAGAATAACTCTACTGAAGTCAGCAAAGCTGTAAAACGGACAAGAAGAGGGAATGGGGATCATTCTGTTTGCTGTGGTTTATAATAAACGCCAGTAGCTCTCCCAGGAAACCTGTCGTGGTGTGAGATGAATGTACCTTGTTTGCATTGAAACAGCGGGATCCTGGGCTCTGATGGAACTGCTCTGGGGCAGCCAGTGATAAATGAAAGCTGATCATTGCACTGACTGTGGAGTCAGTGGGGTTTTTATTACTGTACATCCAGCAGCAATTCGGTTAGAATTTCTGGAAGACTTTACTGCCAGGAATTTTTTCTCGATGACAAAATGGAAAGAAAAAGTGAAAAAGGAGTGATGGCAGGGAACGGGGGAAGACAAATCTTCTTTCCCACCCAAGCCAAACCAGAAAACTGGAAAATGAAAACAGAACAAACAACCAAAATAGCAAAAAACAATAATGCTAAAAATATAGGAAAAAATCTTTATAAGATTAATTATTCCTTTTCTAAATTTGCACTTAGATTAATACTTGGTGCTTTAGAAAAGTTCTTTTGGGTTTTGGTGAGCTCCCATTTAGACTTGTTTCAGAGACACAACTGACGCATGTAGCAAATGCATGTCAGTGTTGCAAATACTCTGCTAAAAACTGTCTGTGGGGTATGTGTGTGTGTGTATCTGTCTATCATCATCTGGCAGCATTCACTCCTGTCTCTGGAAACTGCTAAGGAAGCCCTGACCGCGGTGGTCTCACTAGTGCAAGAGGCTCAAGGGGTGTGATGAACACAACTCAATTTCCAGAAGCTTTTGTGTGGGCTTCCTGATGGCAGCTTGCTTGTTGGATGGAGAGGGAGTGAACATTGCTTCAAAAGTGGGATCCGTGCTTGGGCTTATTTATTTAGACTGTAGGCAACTGAACAAGAAGTAGCTCTTTTTTTCTATATGTGCATCCCGTGCCCTCAGCAAAATTGCATTTTTATCGTTACTGCCACAATATTGAATGCCACCCCCACACTACAGGTATTCAGTTTTCTGTTTGTCCTTTGTCATTTTTTTTCTGTGCTCTCCTTTAAAGAGGAGACCTTACTGACTGCCCTGTCTTTCTTCTGCTGAGTAATTCCACCAGGTGTCTGACAAAGATACTTCTGGAGAGCAGATATTTAGCTTTTGCAATGCCAAAAGGTATTTAGCAAAGGTACTTCTTAGCTCCTTTCTAAAGCTTTTTGATACCTCTGCAAATTTCTCTGCAAAACACTGACCAGCAGATGACTATGGCTCTGCGCACACATGCTGCTGGCATGGTCAGCAAATTGGGTTTCAAGTAGCTTCTGATCTGGCTGGGGACTGAGCTTACTATTTATTCGTAGACTGATAGACATTGCTACTGGACTTGAATCTGATGCCTTGTGAAGGACTACATGGGTTTATTTTCAGTCTCAAGCTGTATCCCTGTAGACAGCATAATTTAAACTTTCCTGCTTATAGGATATTGGTTAAATGTAACAACAGTTAAAAAATACGTGTAAGAAAACTGGCATTAATGACAGAGTGGAAGAAAATTAAATTATATCTAGGAACAAGTAATGCTTTTAATTTTTTTTTCTTACATTCTGGCTTTGTGGTCCTTCATTAAGACGTAACATTAGAATTTGAGGAAAAGCACTCATGTATATTTAAAAATTTTGACTGCAACTAAGTTTTATGTCAAGCAGGAAGCATGAATTTGGGAGAATTGGATATTGTGACTGGTAGGTTTGAAAACAGAATGAGTGCAATTTCTGAACACTGGTTGGCAGGTGTTGATGGCTGACATTCTGTAATTTACTGTACTGGGTTTACAAAAGGCCAGCGAGGAGACTGGAAAGCTAGGGGCCAGCTGCATGGAGTCCTGAGTGCACTTGCCTCCTTTTGAGTGAGAAAAAGAGCTTATTGCTTGTTCGTAACTCAGACCTAACCTGGGCCAGTTTGTCTTGGCTGGAGAGGGAGCTTTGCTTTATTTGGTCCACAGTGTGCTGGACTGCATTTCAGAGCATAGTGGGGTTTGATTCAGTAGTAGGTTCAGAGTAGGGTTAGTGTTCATCCCAAACCTGCCGAACAAGCTTGTCCCCATGTGTCATTTCCCATCATCTATGTTGTGTCATCAGAAATCCTGAGTTCGAAAATGCTAATATAAATATATTTGGGTGGCTTTTTGTCCGCTCTTCTTCCCAAGTCTAATGCAGATGCTACTGTAATAAATATTGTTGAGAGGGATTCACTGAAGGATGTGAATATTCATCAGTCTTTAATGATTTGCATTTGAATCCAGAAAATTGGCTTATGACTCCATGCTGATTTTCTCTCACTCTGATTTTCACATGGCATTAAGTGCAGGAGGATTAAATACCTGGGGTTGTCTCTGGTCCAAACCAGACTTTGCTGTCTTCATTTGGAAATAAGTTCTTCATTAGCTAGTAACTCAACCTTGTGCATCACTTAGTTTTTTTCAATCCTTCCAGACTTTGTTTCTAACAAAGAGCTTTAGGATCACTCTTGTGACTCTCATATGAACCAGTCACCACCCCTGGAGTGTTTAATTTTCACCTTGGCAAGGCTGACGGCTGTGTAGTCCTGCAATTCAGAATGGGAGGCCAAAAAGTGGAAGTGTTGGCCCTGGGATCGAGAGCTTCGGTACTCTTTCTATCCTTTTGTGTTTAACCTGTCCGAACCTTGCAAACCACACCGAACCATTGTATGCTCTGTGGACCTTGTCCCTGGATTGGGAACCCTGTGCGGAAGCGTGGTGGAGTAGTGTGTACTGACAAATCACAGCCCCCCTCTCTGGGGGTGAGCTCCAGCTCTTGGCCAGTGCTGAAGACAGGGCCATTTTGTCTTCTCTTGCGTTTTCCAGCCAGACTAAGATGTAAGTAAATGTGGCTATGCTGGCACGCTCTTACAACACTATTTAGCTGCATAGGCTCATGGATGGGTAGTCTTTTAAGATTCTTGTGTATAATGGGATGGATACGCTTGTTCCTCTGAAGGGCTGTTAGTTTCAGAGAACAGCCCCAATGCTCGTCCCCTCTGGGAGCAGCTGGCATTAGGTGTTACTTTTTCTGTGTTTGCAGTGGGTGCATTTTACCCAAAATATTTAGGGTCATTCTAGATTACAGATAAATTCAATGTAGATTGACAATGCAATTTTGGTAATTTGACCGTACCCTTTTAAAAGCCACTTACGGCTTCTCCATTGGTGTAAGACACCTCATTTTTATAAGATTAGTAGGACCTAGATTAGTCAGCAAATGACACTGAGATCTTCTGGGGAAAACCCAAGGTGATAGTATGAGATTAATATTGATAATCTGGAGCCTGAATAAATTAGACACCAAATGGCCTAAATTTAAATTGGCTTCAGTGGAACTTGTTAGGATGGGGCTTTTAATAAGTGAGGCTCTTCTTTAGGATGGGCTGTTATTCTGCATGTCCTGCCTGTTGAATACGATATAAAAATTATATGCCTAGTCCTAAATGAAAGTGGGTGTCAAACATTTTGCTGTCAGTTATTGTGAGACTCAATGTGATAAGCTCACTGTCTAGGTCTGTGTATCTGCCTGACTATTTATCTGTCTCTCTTAGTTCCTGAGGGTATGATGAGTTTGTGTTAATTTATGGTTCTAAGACACTTGTGTAGGTCCAGGGGATGCTTTATGTAGAAAAGCTTAGATAACAAAAAAAAATGTATGCTGTGTGCAGAAACCTTAAAAGTGTTGATATTTTCCAGGTAATTGTGAAAACAAGAACAGAATATCAGCCTGACCAGAAGAACAAAGGAAAACTCAGAGTCCCCAAAATTGCTGAATTCACAGTCAGTTTCACTGATGGTGTAACAGAAAGACTAAAGGTAAGAAATGGTTATTCTGCTGCCTTCTGATGCAAATGCCATTCATTTTAAAATAACTGAATCAAAGCGACAGTAAAGACATAACAAATTTAACACTCCACTCATCACTAGGGTCGAAGAGAGGTTTATCTGCATCAATATAAAGCTTTTTTTTTTTTTTAGGACAGGCATGAAAATACCTTCATAACTAGATCTAAAGTAGGAAATGTTTTCCTTTTCCCAGGAAAAGTTATGAAAATATTTTCCAGCCTAAATTGAAAGTAAAACAAGTTTGAATCTTTTTTCTTCTCAAACGTTTGTGTTTAAAAAGAATAAAAAAATCACAGTGAAGATTGATTGAAACGGTTTGTTTTGCCTTTTAAAAATTCTTTTGTCTTGTAGTCAAACAACCCTTTTCATATTTAAAATATTTTATTATTGCATAATTATATTATTATAGATTAAAAACCATTACAAACTGGATAAAAAAAGATATATTAGACAAGTATCCAAGCATATCCTGTCCTGTAAGCAGTTTTGGTTCACAGGAATTGGAATTTTCTGATGAAAAATGTTTCCTTGAGAAATTTTCAACAGGCTCTACTCAAACATGGAAAGAAACTCATGAATTATTGAGTGCGCTCAGTTCCTGTTGACTGCAGCATATTAGAATGGCTCAGTTCCTCCTAAAATTAGACTCGAAGCGTGTAGCTGCTAGTATTTTCTCTCTTTTCATTGAGAAGATATGGTGCTTTCCCTAAACCACAGAGCATGGGAGTGATAAAAATGTGAGATCTGATTTCACAGTTCCAAAGTCAGAGGAAATATCAATGATTTGAGTAGAAAATATAGAGAGTAGGCAGTGCCTAGCTGTAGTCCTGCTCCTTGAAACGATAGTATTGGCTGTTGTGAAAGGCTATCATCCTCAACGATTAACAGGAATTGACTCAAGGAACTGAATAGTCTTTCATTTGGCCCAGTTGTTCTTAGTTTTGCAAGAAATAAAAAAGTTTATTATTATTATTTTCTAGTAATTTAGAAGAAAACTATCACTTTTAAAATTGGAGTGTGATCCAGGAAAAATTGTTACCATTCATCCTTGATAAACTTCAGGATAAGGCTTGTTCAACTTACTGAAAGGAGAAAGGTTTAGCTACGCCCTTCTGAAGCATTACAGAATGGCACTGTTTCTGTTTTTTCCAGAAATTCACTAACATATATTTCACAAGGACAATTCTGTTGCTTTCATCCAGGATATTTAAAGCCATAATTTATTCTTAAGAGGTCTGTGAATAAATGTTTATAGCTTCTTGGGTTTTTTTTCAGTGGACATCACATGTTTTGATCTAAATTACTTACCAGAGGCTTACATGCTGTTGATTTTGACCGAGTTCTTCACTGATCTTATTGCGTGCGTAGTACCTATTTACCACCAATATTGACTCTCCGTTGGTACCACTAGTAAAGTAAACAGCGAATTAGCCACATTTAAATCCCCAGTCTTGGAAACCGCAGCAGATGTTTTTCAGTGTGAACAACGTACAAATCAGAACCAGACACAATGTGCCTGAGAAACAACGGTAAACGTAGAGTCTCCTGGAAGTGATGTGTTGGCTTGTGACCCACAATAAATGGCATTATTGTTGATATTGTAAGTGCTTCACTGGGTATTTAAAACTTAATCCTGCAGCCCTGAACAGTGTTAAGGTCATGTAAGACCAAGTTTTAATCTCATGAAAAGATCTGGCCCTGTTAGTTAAAAAAGCAATCAAGCACATCTCACACTTACACACTGTGCATGCTGGAGGCCCATAAGTTAAATATATAGCTCATCCACTGCTATGGATAAATCTAATTTCACCTACTCACTCTTTTATAGGGTATCTTATTTTTCCCATTCTTCAAACCCCCAACTTGCTGTTGTATTCAAACCTCTCCTTTTGATGTATTTTTTCCTCTCCCCTTCCTATTTTTGGTGCGGTTCTCCCATTGCTCTCACTCGTGTGTGCATGAGGAGCGCACAGCAGCAGGCGCGGGGGAGCCGGAGGCTCCAGCGGTGTGCACAGCACTGACAGAGGTTTAAGCTGCCTTCCCCTTTGCTGCACGGTGGGGATGGCTGTGGGAGCTGTGCCTCTTCCTATGCAGTCTGGCATCATGACAGTTTCATTTTTAAGCTATTTCCTTTCCCTAAAGTCCATATGATTCCCATTCTCTGCTCTTCAGTGTCAACTTATTAATCACTCAGCCTCTCGTCTAATACTGGATAAGACTATAAGCCTCTCCCTGCCTGCTTTTCATAAGGCTTCCATGTATCGTATTAAGTTTGTAGTATTATTTCCTGACAAAAATGAGCTGAGATAGTAGGTAATATTTCATTACCTTTTGTACTTCTTTTTTATTGCACCACATTTTTGTACCAGTGCATATTTTTAGTGAAGTTATTAAAAATACCGCCCTCTGGTTATAAGCAGGCCTATTATCTGGTACTGATGAAATCATTTTACATTTGTTTTTTGTAAGAGGAAATCATAGTAAATACTTAACTTTTATTATCTCAGTTTGGCTACACTTTTAAAAGCTTAAAAAAAGATAATATAAATGAGATCATAATATTTTGTTTTGCTGGCTGGTTGCTTTGTATAGCCTTCCAGTATGTGGTGTGTTGGAAATATCATCCACAACTTCTTGCTAACACGCTGATTAAAATTAAAGTATTCATCTATACTTGAGCTGGGCTGTTGGTAGCTGTACACTGGCAGAAGCAAGTAAATCATTCTGTTGATTTCTGCAGGAGAAATGATGGAGTGAAAGGCCAACAGTCCATCCAAGTGTAGATGGTCCATTGGTTTAGTGCACTCCAAATATGTGAGAGCTGTATGGGAAATGCATGTACCACTAGTGTGAGTCCACAGCAATGCTTGAATTCAAAGGTTTTCATAGGGAGCCATTTTGCTACTACAGTTCTACTAATCTGTGTATAAGGAGCAGTATGTCTCAGCATGTGGTACCTGTATGTTGGGGAAAGAGACAGGACAGTAAGAGGATGCGAAGAAATAGCCAAGAGGTCCTCTCCTATCTGCTACTGCAGTACTTTGGTGTCCTGGAGAATACAAAGTGAGATGTCTTGTATTTTATTTTTCACCCAAATGGTAGAATTATCATAAATTCAAACAGAAATAGGCAAAGTGAATATCATTAATGAGCGTGTGTGGAAAAATGCTGCTGGACTCCATATTTATGACTGTGCTCCCCACCCACTAATAACCTCTCTGGAGGGGTTTTTAACATTCCTGTTTCAATCTATAAAGTGCTTTTCTTTCCTCTCTACTTCTGGTCACTTGGTATGGGAATGTTCTCAGTGAAGAAGGAAACTCTTCCCAAGTCCTCGTTTTTTTTTCTGAGTCATGTAGCTGCATTATACAGAAGAGCAGGATCTCTGGGGAAAATTTTGGGACCATATGAACATGGCAGTCAAATCCACAGATGCCCTTTATTCTGCCTTTTAGGTATGTTTTATTGAAGAGGCTACTGAATTATTAGACAACTTTCTCGCATGAGCAAGCCAAAGCCACAATCTAAGCTTATGCGTGCATATTTTTACTCCATCCAGAATAGCACAGATCTGAGCTCTTTAATTATCGTAAAGAAGAAACTGTCCCTAGGCAACAGTTCTTATTTCACACTACCTCTTCCAGGAATTTGAGATAGCTTCTGCAACTTGTCACATCTCCTAATAGATGAGATTATGATTCTCTATAGCTCAGCACACAGTGTCCTGGAAGTTTGACCAATTAGGCTTAATCTTCAGCTGGATGAGTCACCCCATACATACTTTATAACAAATGTTTAAATAGTTGTGTGTAGATGGTTACAAGAAAATGATATTAAAATAGCATTATGGTTGAGCCATCCATACATAAAAGAAATTTCTTTTATCATTTTAGTGCTCCACAGAGCAGCAATGACAACATTTTTTCTAAGCTGACTGGCAGTGCTTTATAGACCTTGCCTCCTCCAGACTGTTTAGGCCTTTGGAGTGTGTCCCTCTAGGAAGTTTTCTGAACTGCAAAGATCTTATTTTGCAGTAACAATGTATACCGAGGTTTCTCAGTCTGGAGGGGAGTAGTGTCTGGTGTTTGCCTTCCATTTTGCATGCTTTGAACGTAGTGCGTGTTACCATGCTTTGCCATCCAGTGATGACACCGAGGTGCACCAGAAAAGGTCTGCAAATGTGATGACTCTCTCTATCGTGTTCCTTTGTGGGACAACAGATCTAACCCTTTGCATTTGAGGTGGGGCTTACTGCTTCTTTTTGCCAGTGATATCCTATGTTACAGCTTTTAAGAACAGTCTCTCATATCCAAGTATCTTCATTCCCGTGAGTTTCTGCCCTTATTTCTTTGTATCAGTACTGAAATGAGAGCAAATGCTCTTTTGCTTTTATTATCCATTGAATGAAAAGTCTTGTTACTTCTGGAGGACAGGGTTTCCAGTGACTTCTTTTGTCTTCCAACCAGTCCAGATAACACAGAAATCATCCAGAAGCATTTAGAAGGTGAAAAGTGGGTTTCTACCCACTTTCTTGACTGTCACTTAGCTGAAGCTTGTGTTCAAGACATCAGCACCCTGCTTAAGAAGAAACAAAGTGGAGAAGAGTAGTTGCTGATGGATTTTGTGCTTGCTCCAGTCAGACCCAGTGAGTGTAGATAGACCTGGGCTAGCCCTGAGTTTACCTAGATTTTTCTATCTTCATATAGCACCAAAAAAGGTACTGGAGTGGTCTTTCAGCATAGGCTTACAACACAGAGCGTTGGGCTGACACACGTAACTGCCTGTCAGTTACTGGTTTTGCGCAAATTGCTCTCTTTATGACACAAGTAGGTTCACGTGCAACCAGTTTGACCTCTGTTATCACTAAATGCCATAGAGCTATTCATTACTGCCTTTTCAGGGAGACAATGGTTTAATGACTGTTAGCTGGTGATAGTTACCTACCATAGTTATCTGACTTCTCAAGTCTT